CATCCTAGAAGGAATATCAAAGATAGCTACAGACTTGAGACTAAACAGAGGGGAAGAAGTCAGAGGTACAAGGAGATTTGAGGGATCGTCACTGTAAATGTATTAATTATGAGGTCATGCAGAAATAAGAATGTAGAGGAGAGACAGAACCCAAGCTGATGGTTCCCTATTACTCATTCAGCATTGTGAAGGTGGCCTAAGTCAGTTTTTAATCTGGTCCTAATCAGTTACAGATAATATCTTACGATAGTTTGACATTAACTTAAATAATATACAAAGCCTACAATGGTGTGCTATGAAGCTCATTCCTGTAGAATAAAGAGCTTACTTAAACATAGTTTTATTTTCACTTCTGAAGAAGTTTGATCATTTTGATTTTTACCAGTTTAAAAAGGTTATATTACTATACATGCTGCAGTTTGGAATGTTTGCTAAATTAATCATGTCTTACACAAACCATATAAATGTTTAGAGCATCTAAAATTTTGTCCACATTGAGGTTTTTTCAGATTTGACATTTTAGCAATTTATGCACCACTTTCATTTCCAATGTATGATCTTTGCACATTGGAGACCTTGCACTACACAACATGGAAGCATATTTAAGGAATTAATACCACTACAATATAAAAGGGTGTTTTATTAGGACTTTGTTATTTTGTTGTGCAATAGCACCATCCAGCAATAAAACAAAATGGTGAAACATCTTAAGAAATATAAAGCACTTTCTAGACATGATGATTATAACTCTTGAGAGTAAAAATAGACTACAGTGAAGAACAACCTTGAGGGTTTAGTACTACAAATTCAAAACATTTCTAGAATGTGTTGACACAATTGAAAGCAGGGGCAAACATGTTATTTCTGTGTTTAAAAAAACAAAAACAAAACCTAACCCTCCACCCCAAACATTATGGCCTACCTCACCTGATTAAAAAAATGGAATCTAAGCTTTGTGATATAAGGAAAAGGCCAATATCCTTGTCTCACCACCAAAGATAATCACACAACAAAAATGAGTGGAAAAACTCAAACTGTTGCATACATAAGGTTGTTTTGCATTCATAATTCATCACTCAGTCTACTGCATTAAATGTGAACACAGCAGCCCCTGGTGAGGAAATATATAATATCACAAGTGAGACTAAACTTATGGAGAACTATTGAAAGGCACAATAATGTAATGTAAAAGCATTGGATTTCTTCAAGCAGTTTTCATATAAAAAAGCTGGGCCGTTTCTTGACAATAACTAGTGGTAGACACCTCAATGCATCAATATATCATATTTCTAAAAGTGATGACTGGCTATCTTCTACAAGGCCACTTGTAGATCCAGTCTCTGCATTCAAATCTTACCTGTAGATCCAGTTTTGCCGTGACACCTCCAAGAAGCAACGTTGTCCACAATTGCTAGTTGATGGATAATTGGGATGTCTACAACAATCCTTTTATTACCAAAAACAAACTGGCCACTTATGTCCTATCACTTCCCATTACATTGTGTCTGCCTTTTGCTTTATGAACTCCTCAGGGCAGTGACAGTGCATCCTTTTCTGTTTGGAAAGCACCTAGCACACTGGTGTAATACTAGAAACAAATTTATTAGTGAAGTCCCAAAAGAGCTAAGTAAACATTTAAACAGTGGTTTGCTTGAAACTGAAGAGAAAAAGGAAGAAACTACTCCTGCCCAAATCACTTTAAAATGTAATATATAGCCCTTGCCCCCCCCCCCCAAAAAAAACCCCACACAGTTTCACAGTTGGTGTTTTAATTCAACAAACTATGAAGAATATTTTATTCAGGTTTGAAGTGTCATCTTAGGTCATGTCTCCAGCCATCCAAAAAAATACAATTGGCAAGGGTTGTGTGTTCAAGGGGGTCATATGCTCTCAACAATCTCTTAAGTTTTTTTTTTTTTTTTTTAAATTCAGTTGTCAAGCTTTGGGGGTATGGTAGGACACAAATGGCTACTGAAAATCCAAACTTGAAGCGGTGATATTTTATTTTTATTTTTTAAGTCAGGAGCTGAACATCATGCAAAAGGCAAGAAGAAATCAGCAACGGCATTTAAAGAAGAGCAAGATGGGTAGCAAGGTTTTGTTTTAACTGAAGCAGAGTGGCAGAGAAGAGATGACAAGAGATCATCATAATTTAGTGAAAGGGTTTTAAGCTATAGGAAAGAAGAAGAAAGTTCTGTGTGACGTAGGTGAGAAAAATAATATCATGGTCTTTCTTTGAGGAAAGACTATGTTGACTATAAAATTAAAGTAAAACATATAGCAGATGATGGCAAAGAGGCAATTCAAAACACAAGACTGCACTGACTGGGAGAGCGAAGTGCAGAGAGCAGTAGCTGAAGCCATAACAGATACATCTTGCCCAAAGACACAGAGCGGAGAAGCCATGACAAAATGCTAGTGGTCACACTGAAAGATGACTTAACACTGAAGAAATAGGTGAAGAGCTTAGTGGACCAGGACAGCTTACATGACAAAGCCAAGAAGAGCAGTCAACTCTTTCAAAACTGTGGACAAACAGGAAGATTAGTACCAACTCAAGGCAGAGAGCTAATGTTAAGTGTGACTAGCAAAGGGAACAGAACCCAGCTCTCAAGTAAACCAAGAGTGGGAGAGACAGTGAGTATTAAAGCATGTATGCAACATGCACAAGCACCCTGGAGACAAGAGGGAAATGGTCCAACAATTAGAGAGGCCACATAGGCCCCCAGAAGTATGTCCTTGTATCCTCTTTCCCTAAAAGGGGCAGGAGAAAAGTGGAATGAGAGGACAGAGGAGGTCAAAAGGCTAAAAGGTAGTAGGAAGGAAAGTTGATAACAAGCAGGGAAAAACAAAAAGGTTAGTAAGTGGAAGGGCACTAAAATGTAGTTGGAGGTGGTGATAGACTACATCTGGGAGAATTCTCTGGATAGGGTCACTTCTATCCTAAAAACTATTGTGAAAAATGGTGAAGTTTGAGTCAAAAGGTGGGGAAGATGCAGGAGTGGACTTGTTTAGAAAGGGAGCAGGGTTATCAGGTTTAAAAAAAAAACAGGCTTATAGGGCAGAAATGCTGTACAACATAGCAACAGCAAACAACCAAAGCTGGGGATTTGGGATACCAGGGAGAGAGGAAACAAAGTGCAGCAGAGCATGTGGTAAATAGCACTAAAAGGAAAGGCAGTGAGAAAGGTAGTAAGAGCTGCAGACTAGTCAGTTCAATCACATCCGTTAGTTCTCCATTCCCAATCAGACAAATGCAAGGAAGGAACAAGCAGCATCCAGGAACATGAAGTGGTGATAAGGAAATATACACAGTAAGAGCAATGCTTAGCAAAGACAAGGCCAAGGGTCACCAATACACTCAGGAGGCACAAAAAAAGGGGACATATCAGACAGGCACTAACCATGCAAACCAGGATGAAGAAGAGCTAGGCTTCTAACAGAAGAGTAGTGAGAAACAGCAGCCAATTGCGGGGAGAAACTGGAGACCATGAAGTGTTGCCAGGATACACTAGTCCATTACATTACAGACAAAAGCATCCATCCTATCAACTGGAACACATATGCAGCATGAGTGGAAGTCAGCCAAGATATTCTTGCTAAGTCCATTGCAACAGGAGCCTTAACGAACGGTTCCACATTGTTGAAGTTGCTCCCTCTGACAGAATGGGATCACAGCTCACACTTTAAAGCCAACACTGGGGGATTTTCTTAATGTGGTAAGATAAGGTGGTTGATTAGGCAGGTGCTTTATGTACTATACATGCTCAAGTTGTGGCTTCACAGATTTTTTTTTTTTTTTATTTTTAGTGTCTTCGTGTTC